CTAGCGTAAAAACTGCACCTCTAACTGAGCGCTTGTATTGAAGTAGTCAGATAAACAAAGATCACAGAATACTGACTGAGATCACAAGAGGGCGCCAAACCATAAGAAACAAACAAACATTAGACACATTCAACTGATACACGATGATGTTTGAAGTTTGTCATGTATCCAAAAGCCAAGATTTTTATTATCTTTAACTTTCTTAATACAAGATGCAGAACAGTGAAAATTTGACACTAATGCTGTGAGTGCCTCTGGGTGTGAGGAACAATGTAAACTTTACTAAACTAAAGCATTATTTATTTTTAGTAGTTGTAGTTATCAGCACTATACTAGTTTAATAATTATTAACGCCTGACTTGCACATTGCTTTCAAAATCAGTCATACTCAATGATCAACAACCATTGATCAAAGACCACTGATCAATGGTCATGAGTACCATTCACAAATATTTGGAGAATTGCTGCAATCACAGCATCATTTACATGAAAAGGGAAAGACTATCTGAAATGAGTAGGAGACCTAATGGTACATCTTTCTTCATCTTACAATGCTGTGATTGTAGCCATTCGCCAACTCTCTGTGACTGGTACTCAGGGCCATTGATCAGTGGTCTTTGGTGGTTTACACCAATTTGCATATTGATGATCAAGGAACTGACCTCAGAGCCCATTGTTCATTCAGTGGGCTGGTTTCAGTTATTGTGCAAACGTACTGTTTATAAGGTTGGGGAAAGTGACTTGGATAAGTGAGAAAACGTTTCACCCACTGAAAACCCTGCATCCAGATGAACAGAATCAACCTTTTGGGAAAAATAAAGCAGTTTAGTAAAAGACAACAGTTTTTCTTAGGATACCAAACATAATATGTGCATATGGTGTAATACCCTCTATTTCACCATCTACATTCTACTGTTTTATGATTTAATGTATTATTTAATGCCTTTTTTAAAAGCAGAAAAGATGTTTCTCAACATGTCTACATCACTTTCAATAGAATCAATAATTTTATTTTTCTTCTATAACCCCAAACTTCATGTACTGGATCCCCACAGCGAAATTATGACATCAGGGACAGAGAATTCGTGGCAATCAAACTGGCACTGGAGGAGTGGTGTCACTGGCTTGAGTGAGCAGAGCAGCTCTTCACCATGTGGACCGACCACAAGAACATGTTTTATCTACCTTCAGCCAAGAGATAAATGCTCGCCAAACTTGCTGGTCTCTGTTTTTTGGTTGATTCTATTTCATTCTCTCTTATCACACCAACTATAGGAATGCAAAAGCTGATTCTTTTTCTCTCCAGTTTTCCCAGATTACAGATTGGTTGGAACCAATGTTCCCTCTAATTCTTCATGTGTCTGAGCGAACACACAAACTCCCTGAGCATCCCGTGGACCACTGTGAGCAACATCAGACGTGTGCACTGTGGTCACGCCGGCATCAAATCCATCCAAGCTACATGGTTTATTAAAATAATCAAATTACAGCATTTACATTTATGTTAGACTACTTTTAATTAACTGCTTTAGCCCACATACAATGAAAATTTAAAAAAATCTTGTTCATGACCTGTGTAGTATGTTAACACTGTTGGAAGTTAAAATAAGAGAGTCCTGTAACTCTCTCTCTGCAAAATACAGTATATAATGACCAATGTTGGGCAATTAATTATATAGTTACTTCTTCAAAAAAGTAACTGAGT